TAACAACAAGATATACAACCACCAACTCTACGGAACCTAAGTCCGGAATACAACAATCATATGAAGAGAAACCGGGATCGCTATAATTTGGAATAGATTTTAAAAGGAATCCACGCCAACACAACCATCTTAACTTCTTAGGAAATTTTTGATATCCGCCACTGAGTCTTACATTATTAAGCTGAAGTAGTCTTAAATTGTGCATCTGTGAAAATGCATTAGTTTTCAAATTATCTTCATCTGATTTTGAAAATGATTCTGTGAAGGCAGGAATAACACAGAGAAAAGGGAATAAGCCTCGGCGATGTCACTTCAATGAATTGCCTTTGTTAAACATTGTATGTTCTGCAAGAAAATCGTCATCTGATTCTGAAAATGATTCTGTGAAGGCAAGAATAACATAGAGAAAAGAGAATAATCCTCAGCGACATCACTTTAATGAATTGCCTTCATTAAACATTGTATGTTCTGCAAGAAAATCTCCACCTGATTCTAAAAATGATTTTGTGAAGGCAGGAATAACACGGAGAAAAGAGAATAATCCTCGGCGACATTGCTTCAATGCATTGCCTTTGTTAAACATTGTCTGTTTTGCAAGAAAATCTTCATTTTGGGATTGTACACCGCTTGCACTCTTGGCTGGCATATCTTCTAAGTTGAGGCTAAGGCCTTCAATTGTTGTTGTTCCCTGATAAAGAAAAATTGGAAAAATAGCCACTACAATGAAGAGAGAGAGAGAGAGAGAGAGAAGCATAATTCTTACAGTTTTATCCCTCAACACATTGAAGGCATCCTTATGACACCACACTCTGCTGCACTTTCCAAGTTCCTTTTGTGATTCCCGGCGACCAATTTCCCTACCCATGTCTCTAAGCACTTGGTGCATTATCAGCTTGTCGTTATCTTTATTAGTTTCTATGAGACCTCTATGAGTGAGATTTTGAATACCAATTGTTATGGAGAAATCACATTCCTCTAGTATTTTAACTATGTAATCTTTGTCCTTTCCAACAAAGAAACAAGCACTATCAAAGAATATATTTTTCTCATGATCATCTAAAGAATCATAACTTATTTTAAGCACATTATGAATTTTCCCGGGAAAATGTGTTCTTAATTTTGCTAATGCACTTTCCCATACATCAATACTTTCGCCAGACAGAGAAGAGCCCAAGACTTCCAGAGCTAGTGGAAGCCCACCACAGTGGTGTATTACCCTTTTTGAGTGCTCCATGTAAGCTTCAATAGGTTTGTCTTGTCCAAAGGCATACCAGCTGAAGAGACAAAGTGCTTTATCATCATTCAATTCCTTAACCACATACTTCATCAGCCTTTAGAAATTGCACATGTCTAGTAATTATCATAATGCATTTACTTTGTCCAAATCATCAACATCATCAAGAACAACTTGAACTCTTTTACAACACATAGCATTTTTAATCTTATTAATAAATGCACAAACAAGACCAAAAACCATCACCTTATCGTGCATGATCAAGGGCAATGGAGACTTAGGAAACTTGACTCATTTCATCACTTTGAGTATGAAATGCCCCAATTTTCCTTGTGTTTAATTAACGTCCGATTGAACACATCAAAACACAATCAAATCTTTGCACAATTTTAGTTTCCATTTTTGTTTACCCATTTTAATTTACCATTCCATTCTTTAACCAATTAAGTCCATTGGTGAGTAAGTCCTCTAAAAGAGAAGGAAGTGTCAAACAAGGGGTAGTTTAGGGCAAGAAAGAGGTGTCATGCCATTGATAATGAACCCTCAAAAGAGGATTAAACCATTAAGCATGGACCTCAATCTCAAGCTTAAACTATCCTAAGGTTGAAACAACCCTCAAAGCAAATAAAAAAAGTCAAGAAATGAGTGAGGTTGTAGAGATTAATGAGTACTGAAATTAAGTGAGAAAAACATCAAAATATGCAATCAACTCAAACAAGTGGTGTCTAAAGGCCTAAAACACCTAGCTTGTGAGGACACTTACACTAGAAGCATGAAAAACAAGACTCAAATGACTTAACCAACCCAAAACAGAGTTAAAATAGTCCAAAATAGAGCCTAAAACATGCTGGAATTAAGCTATAAATGGCTAGAAAAATAAGCTAACATATAGAGCTATCTAGGCTAGCAACCAAGGCACAAGGCGGGGAGGCTAACCCCTCCAAATTTAGACCTCAAAACATGATTTTCACCACTGAAAATACTCTAAAATTCAGTGGTCAAAAGCCCAAAAAAAGATGGTTTGAAAGTGGGAAACAAAGGTGGAAAGGCCTTATAAACAAGGAATAAAGAGGGGTGAGCCACCCCCTAACCTTAAATGGCCTAAAACCACCAACTTCAGCCCACCAAAACAGAGTTTTTTATAGCCCAAAAATAGCCCAAAATCAGTGAGAAAAGATAGAGAAACAAGTATACAAAACAAGGTAAAAGGACAAGTGTTATACCTCTTGAAGCAATGATCAATTCTAGGCAATAATTCAAGCCAAAACCAACTTCAAGAGCTCCAAAAAGGCTTCAAGGAACCTCAGTCCAAAGGTGATAAACTTTGATTAAGGAGGTGTAGGCAAAAATGTAGTATATGTAGGCTAATGTGCACAAATTTGCAAGAGCGAGATAATTTTTGCTCCAAAACTTTGAACCCTCAAAAATTGGGGAGAAGACCCCCTATATATAGAAAAACATGCATTTGGCTGAGATACATCTCTCCATACACGTGTAGGGGAGATTGATGAACCTCTATCTTCATGTCAATAGGGAGATACATCCAATTGTGGTAGCAGCTAGAATAGCTGCCAACAAAATATCTGAAAAAAGACATTGATGACCGGCAAGCCACACCATTGGCAGGCAAGGCACAAGGGTGAGGGCATAATTGGTGGCCAGCAGTCCACCAGAGGAGGCCTACAGGTCCCAAGGTCTTGAGGTTTGAAGCACTAAGGTTTTGGTCCAACACAAGGCATAAAATAGACAGGGTTTTAAGGCTTAAAGACAGGACATTCCGCCGAGGACTTCAGGCACTAAAACGAGCACATGCAATCATGATCATCAAGTGCACAAGCGATGATGTTCAAGTCTTGAGGATGGTAAAAAATGGGATGTCTACACATATATACTTAATTTGAAATCATGAGCTTCAAAACACCATGAATTGTCAAATTTGAAACCAAATTCTTCATGCATGTATGGAATTGTGTTCAAATCTTTTTCAAAACCTTCAAACATGAAATTAAACTCTTGAAAACTTGAAATTCTTTAATGCATGTAAAAATTCAACTCTTAAATTAACAAGAACACTAGAATTCAAGCTCAAAATGCTCAAATGTAATGGAATTATGCATGCATGCTCACAACTAATTCACAATCACTAAATTCATGATGGTGATCCTAGTTTATTCTTTACAAATTCATGCAAATGGTCCTACAACTTATTGAATTCAATTCTACATGGATTATTTCCAAGAATTGTGGGTGAATTCCATACCTAGAGCTTGAATTGTAGTTGAATTAACTAAAGTTCTTCAAATCCCCTTCAAATTCTCTACAATTTCACCACTCTCTCTTTAGAAGTGTTGAACTCTCAACTCCCCCTCTAATTTCAGCCACTTAGTTGGAGAATATGAACTCAATAGGCCTATATCCCATATTTATAGGTTTGATTAAGTTAGGCAAATTAGGTGAGATTAGGCTTAATTAAGTAGGCTTAAGTCTAACTATTCTTAATCAAGTTATTCTAATTATTTTGATAAATGGTTCTAAATATTTCAATTAGCCTATTGAACTAGTCAATTTCGGTTTCTGAATCCATTTTGGGCTTTCAATTTTGAATTTTAAGTCTGCACTCTAACAGATATTTCATAAACAAACAGATAAGCATCAATTAAGCATATAATCATGCAAATATACTCAATGAAATAATATATAAAAATAATATGTATGTCGGGGTCGTCACAACGTCCCTAAGATCTTTTTTCCTCACTACCTTATCATAAAGTCCAAGCCTCAAAAACTCAGCATTGCAAATATTATTGGCAAAAACAGTATTACCTCAAAGAAATAGAGAACTCTCAAACCAATCTACCATTGTAAAATAGTTCATAACTTTCCAAAATCAAATCAAGAAAGGAAGAAGAGTTTGAATTAGCAAATTTTAATTTGAATATTACCCAGCAATAAAAGGGGAAAAGTAAAACAAAATACAGAAAAATCCATTTCTTTCAGCATTTGGTGATAAAATGAGAGAAAACAAGCATTTTAATTTTAATTTGTTTTTTCTACTAATACTGCTTGTTGTTTATCAAATGAAATGGTGAAGGTACTCTTTTAAGTCTCACCTGTATTTTCTAGGCATTCCCATTTCTACTCGCACATCCTTGAGTAGAGTAGCACTCTACTAACATCATCGTCATTACATAAGAAGTACTCGCCTTCTCTCATTTGATATGCTGACAAATCAAGGACATTATGATTAAAAGAATAGCTAGTGTTGTTCTGGGTACCTTTCCCTTCTTCATCATACAGAATTCGAATTCCAAATTCTTTTACCCAAAAAAATTCCGCCATATTCACAGAGATGTTCATTTCATCACCACCTTCCATTAACAGATCCGCTATCTTCCAATCACTTAACCATATCACATCTTTGTGTTCATACGGAATGCCTCTAAATGTTGGCCTATATGCCCATTTCATACCCTTAGTGTTATTACTGACTTTAATATATTTATAAGACCATTCGGCCAGTCTAAAATCCATGGCATATACAATGCATATATTCAGGCCACACAATTTGAGATGTGGAAGTGAAGGAACTATAAAAGAGATTGATGAACCTCTATCTTCATGTCAAACCAACTAGGAATCTCACTCCCGAGAAGAAATATGTTGTATATGCCACATTCATATAGTCCCTATGCCATGAAAATTACACTTTTAATAATTAATTAAATATAGATAGCAATTGAGAGAGGGTGGGAAAGAGAGAGAGCACCTAGAGTGTGGGAGCTTTAATAATTGCACCAGTTAGGTTACTGTATAGTTCAAACTCAGCAATTCCCATGAAATCCCACTCGGTTAAGCTCAAATTGTTAATCATTTCCAAATCAATGTTTCCAATTGGTTCTAACATCAATAATCCCTGAATCTTAACTAGTTTCTCGCAATGACATATGTCCAACATTAGTAGGTTAAATAGGTTTGGCAGATTTGCTACCGTTTCTAAAGACCTGCATCCAGTTAAATTTAATCCTGCTAAACTCATTGGAAGCTCTGGAAGTGATTGAAGCCTAATGCAAGAAATTAAGTCAAGATGAGTTAGCCTAGTAAGACCTTTGAGGCTTCCTGGAAGGCTACAGATTGGATTATAGCCTAGACGCAAGGTTTGTAATGAGGACAGGGTACTAAGATCCCCTGGAATACCATCACCAGATATATTGCAATTTGAAAGAGCATGGTAAGGAAGTCAATGAGAAACAAATGGATTCAAGGCGGCTTCTTAGTTTTGATACCCAAGACCAAATATGTTCATGCCATTGTTTAACTGCTCCACTATTTGAGGACAATTGATTTATTCCATCTGCATGAAGCACTTTCAAAGATTCCATCTTGACCAGGTCAGGAGGCAACTTATCAAGACTTGAGCAGTCGAAGAGAATAAGTTCTTCAAGGGATTTGAGCAGAACAATTTCCCTTGGAAGCTTCGTAAGATTTCTGCAACCTCTTAGATTCAGCAAAACAAGTCTCTCTAATTTCCCAACGGATTCATGAACACCAACCAAATTTATGCAATCTTTAAGTTTCAGTTTCTCAAGATTAGGGAGCAGCAAGAAATCTGGGGAATCGACAAGGCCATGGGAATGACTAAGATTGAGGATCTTCAACAATCTGAGCATCTATCATAAGGTAGGAAATTGGTCTCCATCAATTGGCACATTGATCAAAAAATTTAAACTACAAGAAGAAATTCAACAAAAAAAAATTGAATCACACCTTGGTTCCTTTCCAAAGTTGTGCCAAGCTGCTATTGCGCATATCAAGAACAACCAGGCTCTCTAGAGGAAAATCATTAGGTATAAATTTTAAAGGGAATCCATGTCAATGCAGCCATCTTAACTTCTTAGGAAATTTTTCATAGCATCCAATGAGTTGTACACTATAAAGCTGGAGTATTCATAATTTGTGCATCGAAAAAAATGCACCAGTGTTCAAACCAATTTCTTCATTTGATTCTGTTGAGACAGAATATGTGGGAAGCCAAGAGAATAAGCCAAGACGCTGGCGCTTTGATAAATTGTTGTCCACAAAATCATCAAAATGGTGGTGTTGTGTATTATTTACACTCTTGCCTCGCATATCTTCCCGTAGCACACACAAGTCCAGGATGAAACCTTCAATTGTTTATGTTCCCTAATAAGAAAAAGGACCCCATAAATAATCACAAAGTGCCCAAAAAAAAAAAAATATTACCAATAGACAAGAGAAGTATAAATCTTACAGTTTTTTCTTTCAATACATTGTAGGCATTCTTATGACGCCATACTCTGCTGCATTTTCCAGGCTCCTTAGGAGATTCTTGGCGAATAATCTCCCTCCCCATGTCTCTAAGCAATTGATGCATCATTAGCTTGTTGTTTACTCCATCAATTGTTACAAGGCATCTACGAATGAGATATTGAATCCCAACAGCTGTGTGGCAATCACATTCATCCAGTACTTTAACTGCAAAATCTTTTTCTTTTTCAACAAAAAAACAAGCAATATCAAGGTACAAGTTTTTGTCATGATCATCTAATTTGAAGTACATTTTGGATTTTCTCATCAAAAAATGATCCCAACTTTGCTAATGCATTTTCCCATGCGTCAACACTCTTTGTGTTCTTTCCAAATAGAAAAGCACCTAAGACTTCAAGAGCTAAAGGAAGCCCCCCACAGTGGTATGTCATCCTCTTGGCCAGCTTGATGTATGCTTCAATAGGATGGTCTTGTCCAAAAGCATGCCAACTGAAAAGACGAAGCGCTTCAACATCATTAAACTCCTTAACCATGGAAACCTCACAAACATCATGAACCTTTAGCAATCGGTCATGCCTAGTTGTAATGATAATTTTTATAGCGATTCTGGTTTCCCCATCACTGTTTAACAGTACTCCGAACTTAGGTTCCGTGGAGTTGGTGGTTGTATATGTCTTGTTGTCATCCTTTAATTCCTTTACTCTTTGTTTTTGAGTCTTAGGTTGTGTTGGGTAGGTTTGAAACAGGTTGGTTGTGCTTTGAAACCAAAAGTTGATGCCCAGAATTTGGCCTTCACGCTCGAGCGGGGCTTTTGACACTCGTGCGGGCCCTTTGTTGTTGCTTCTCCGCTCAAGCGGAGCGTTTTGACGCTCGAGCGTGAATTTTCATCTCCCAATATTTTTTCTCTTCAGGTCTTCGTACGCTCGAGCGGGAGTTTTGACGCTCGAGCATGACCCTTTGATTTTGTTCCTCCGCTCGAACGGGGACCATGGCCTGCAAAACTTCTATGAGTGTGCATCCGACGCTCGAGCGGGCGTTTTGATACTCGAGCGTGAGTCTGTGTTTGACGCTTGAGCGAGGGTTTCCATGCTCGAGCGGGGCGACTTTTATATCACTTCGAGATTTCACTTTTTGGATCACTTTTCAACATCCTTTCTCTCTCTTACTTTTCAAAAACTACCATTAGAGAGCTTCTCACTCTAAAACTCCAACTGTTCTCTAGGAATTGATCTAGCTTGAGTGATCTACTCCCTTAGTGTCTTTGCAAAGAGTGTAGAGCTTGGCTTGGGCTTCCTATCAATCCGAAAATCTTGGGTTTTGGAGCATTTCGAGATTTCTTCATCTTCTTCCTTTGAGCTCTGAATTTGAGGTAGGGATTCCTACTCATCTTTATGAGCTTTAACCTAAATGTTGAGCTTTTTTGTATAAATGATTTGATTTGGGAAGTTAGGGTTTGTAATGTGTTATATTAGAAAGAGGGGTTTTGTTCTTTGATTCAAGCATATGTGTTTTGGGTCAAAAAGGGGAGGTTATTGATGTTGTTGATAATATTTGGACCTTTGGGTCAATATTGAGAAAAGGGGGAAAATGCCATGTTTGGGTATATTTAGGTCATTAGTATAATTAATGACATTTATCATGGAATTATGAAATTAAGTTGGAAATAACGAAATTGGCATAATACGGGATGGAATGGTGGAGTTGGATTTATTAATCACTCACCTTTGAGAATTGTTGATAAATTATCTGTTGATGTAATTATTTTCTGTTTAGAAATAATTGTTTTGGGCTATTGGTGGAGGATAGTCTTGATTGTTGTAGACAGTGCATGATGATTAGGCAAACTAAAACTAATCAATTGAATATGTCATCGAATATGACGGTTGGAATAGTACATCAAATTTATGTATTGATTGATTATGTATATGATATGTGTTTATATACATTATGTTGTGTGGGAGGAGATAGGGGATGTACTCCACGGTTTAGGGGAAGATAGGGGATGGACTCCTAAACCGGGTATTGTTGGGGAGGAGATAGGGGATGGACTCCACCGATACAGCAAATATGTGTATCTATTGAAGTATTGATACAGTAAATCTGTGTATCATATATGAAGTACGGAAGTGTTTTATTTGAGATTAATACAACAATTAGGTGTATCTAATGTGAAGTATGAAGTGTTTACTTTGAGTTATTATCTCAATTGAAATGGAAGTATTGTTGATATGAGATGTAATCTCATTTAAATCGTTTGGCCAGGTTCTGAGCCATGGTTATGAATTGAGAAATTGGATAAGAAATGGAAAATAGAATAAAACATGGACACATTTGTCATTTAATTGAAATGGGTTATGAATTGATTTATGTGAGTTAAACATTTATCAAATGCTAATGTTTTAGTTATTGCTCATATTATGTTTAGCATATCTCTACTGAGCGTTGGCTCACCCTATATGAGACATCATTTTCAGGTACAGGTAGCATGCCACAGACATCATTTTCAGGTACAGGTATTATGCCACCTCCAAGGACGTAGCTTGGAAGGCTTTGGACTCTTTTTTTGTTGTTTTTGTTGTATTACATGTATATCAAGTCAAGGGCTTATTTGTGTAGAGTTAGTACTCTCTTTTTGTAACCAAGTGTTGACTTGGAAAGTTCTAAACCCGTAGAGCATTTACTTTTGATGTCAACATGTAATACTTTTGGACTAAATACTCTTATGAATAGAAATATGATTATTTCTCTTATGTTTATGGATGTCGCGAATGCATGAATTATGGATTTATTTTGAGGGTGTTACAATTTTACTTGCAGGATGAAACCAATGTCTCATTCCAAATATTGCATTTACTTGGTTTGTGTAGAGTTAGTACAAGTCAAGGGCTTATTTGTGTAGAGTTAGTACTCTCTTTTTGTAACCAAGTGTTGACTTGGAAAGTTGTAAACCCGTAGAGCATTTACTTTTGATGTCAACATGTGATACTTTTGGGCTAAATACTCTTATGAATAGAAATATGATTATTTCTCTTATGTTTATGGATGTCGCGAATGCATGAATTATGGATTTATTTTGAGGGTGTTACAATTTTACTTGCAGGATGAAACCAATGTCTCATTCCAAATATTGCATTTACTTGGTCCAACTCATCCACATCATCTAAAACAAGAAGAACATTTTTATAGCTTATAGCATCTTTAATCTTAATGATTCCCTCGTCAACATTGTGTATTTTTTCTATTTTTCGCTTAAAAATATCTGAAAGAAGCTGTCTTTGTAAACAAACCAGACCATTGGATTGTTTTGAAGTTTCTCTAACATTTGCAAGAAAACTACTACCTTCAAATCTATCGAAGTTTTGATTATAAGCAGTTTTTACAATGTTTGTCTTCCCAATTCCATCCATCCCACATATCACCATTATGCCAACATTGTTTGACCCTTCTTGTAACCACGAATTGATGTCTTTTACACAAGATTCTATACCTGTTACATAGGGAGTGACACTCAAGACCGTACGAACGATCCAATTTTGTTAGCAATCTCTCGAACAATTATCTTGGATAAACTTGACTCATGCCTACAAATCCCCTGAACAAAGACAAAATAAAACAAATAGCTTAAATATGATGCTTGATTTTTTTAACATTGCCCATCTATATAAATCCTGTAGAACTAAGATAACATGCAGATTGATTTGAAATGAAAGAATCTACATAAAATTGGAACATGGGAGAGAGTGAGAGAGTCTTGCAAGTTTAACTTGCATTGTCAATAACTATAAATTGTGTTGTTTTAGCCAGCTTTAAATGAAAAGTAAATTAAAAGCCACAATAGTGTCAATGAGAATTTAGTATGTTGACAATTTCTAATAGACAAAATGGTAGCAATGCACTGATATGTTAGGTGAATGTGAATGTTGCAATTAGGAAGATCAACCACAAACCCAATGCAGTCATCACTCCATACTCCATAGGCATATTCCATTTTGTATTTGGACACATGTTTTAAATTTTAAAAAAAATTTACCTATAAAACAATTTCCTGTTCCTGAATGGTCGTGTTAGAAAAATTGTGAGAACATGACCATGAGCCAAAATTCCAAGGGCCTAGCTTGAATGCACTCAAATTCCCCGCTCGAGCTGAGCTTGAGTTGCAAAGGAGAAATCCAATTCAAGGCCTCATTCATTGTTCTAAAAGTATTTTGGATTGTTGCTAGCACAAGTAGTGTGAGAGAGAGTAAGTGGTGTGAGAGGTGAGGAAGATGGAGACTTAAAATACAACAGTGAGCGGGCATTTATGGGGGCTTAGCGTTTAAAGACTCAATTACTTTTGAGCTGCGTAATGATGTCGTGTTATGGGTACTTTCATCTCATCATTGTACTCTATTCTATATAGTGGATTATCTCTCTTCCTTTGGAATGTAGCATTGAGCAAGAAACCATGATAACTAATTGTGTTTCTTTCATGTGTGCACTATATTTTTAATTTTGGATGCTTCACTGGCACATGAATCATATTTCATCTGCAATATCAGAGTTTTTGAGAGAGATTCAATTTCCCAACAAGTGATATTAGAAGCTTAAGATGGAATTTTATTTCCATAAAATTTACCTGTCAGCTTGAATGTTTTACAAGACCAAACCTCCGAGATATGCAACTTCTCTAAGTGCTTTCTCCACCCGCTTCCAACCTTCTCCATCCTTAGTTTCGCCATTTCTTTCACGCATTTCCACCTAAATTGAGCTTCATGCCCTGCAAATGCTTCTTGCAACACTGCCCAGTTTTAGCTTTCCTAACTTGGGTTTGGATTCCTGCCATAGAAAACTGGTAAAATTACATGTTTGAAAGTTCCTTGTTGCACTGCAAGGATCATCACAAGTTCTCAAGGCACCTTCGCGAAGAAGCATAGTCTTTTTTGAGAAATACAATTATGGAGCTCCCTTTTTGGAAATCGCCCCTTGATTGCTTTTCTTAGTCCACCTCTCTCCATAGCATTATCATCAGTTTTCTAAAACGTGCGAAAACCTGCACCAATCACTGCTATGTATTAGAGGTGGTCTGTAAATTTTTGCAAGCTCTTCGGCAAAAGCTCAAGGAACATGATAAGAACAACGAGATTGGAAGAAG